AATTATGATTTTTTATATATTATAATTTTAATACATCTGTTTTAATCATCTTTGTTTTCCCAATTTTTCTATAAATTGTATACTTTTTTTAAAGTTAATAATTCCGCATGGATACTTTCTTGTTATGTTTCTGCTTCATACCATCTGATGATTATTTCTGAAGCTGCGAATGTTTCAGAATGTGTAGGAAAATAGTTGTTTTGTAGGAAAATATATCATCTTCTTCACTGCTTCCTTCATTAGAGATTCATTTAATCTTTTTAAAAATTTCTTCATCATATATATTTCCTTCATTATTTTCAGGCAATTGTGTTATATCACTTTTATCATGATTTGTACATTCTGGTATGTTATATAAACTTAAAAGAATTTCATTGGCATCACTCGATATTTCGTATATTTTATCGTAATCTACAATATGATTTATATTTGATAATAATTTATTCCATCCATTTTTTAGTGTATAATTTGTAATATTATCCCATGCATTAGTAACAAGATATATACATTCTTTCATATTTAACTTCTTATATGCCTGTAATACATTGTTCTCAGTGTTATCACATCTCGGTATAAACTTATGCATTATGTGTTTCTTATAATATTGTTTGAAATACTCAATTACATCTTGGTCCGTAGGCTGTATTAATGATGTAATATTAGACGATAGAAAGAAGATTTTTATAAACTCATCTTTTTCATTTAAGATATCACAGGATGGATGGCTCATTGCGTTATCTATCAACAATGATGTTTTCTCTCGTTTGCCCGTTTTTAACTATTGTTCTTTTACTGCTGGCACAAAAATCGTTGAAAACTATTCAATAAAAATATTAGAATTCATTCAAGCATTTTTCTGAGACATATATGTAATAGGCATAGTATTTAAATTACATCTTTGAAACATCGAAGTTTATTACTCTTTCCAATTAACCCATTTGCATCATGCGTCTACTTAATGTGCCGTATTAAAAAATCAGCATTGTTCAATTGATGATCGGCCCGTATCACTGCGCGTAGTCGGTCGTAAGTGCATCACATCTGAAGAATATTCGGTAACTGGTAATGAAAAGCAATGGCGGGCTCGCTTGGTGTAAAAGACAATCGCAGCTTGCGGATATATCCGCGTTTGGATGCAAATGGGTTAATAAAACGGGAAGCTTATGGTTTCCAGTGTCATCCGCACAAACAAGAACCGTGATTCGATCTTTATTGACTTTATTACCCGGTAATGAGCGTTCATGTTGACAAAGTCTTTGGCGGAAATGATTTCCATAACAAGCTAGTTTTATCTGCATTTATATACGTTTCCTAACAGATAATTTTCTTTCCTTAGTAATCCTATAAACTCTTTTTAAAGATTTCAGCTGCAAATTTATCCGATAAGAGTTTTTCGTCTGACACAATCTACGAATACTGTAACGTGATTTGAAATTTGCTAACCAATCCGATGATGCTTTGAAATTACAATCTCCGTTCAATTTTTGATTATACTTTAAAGCTTTTTCTCATACTATAGGTCCCGATATAGATTCTTCTGTCTCTCTTTAGACAAAACTATCCATACATAGAATACAAACATTCATATCAAGAATTTTATTGTTAGCAGACTTTTATATTTGTCCGTGTGCATTACGATGAACCCTCATTATAATTAAGAATTTATCACTTTCGTCTTTTAATGTTACAAACTGTTGATTTTTCAATTCTAAAAGTCGCTGCTATTTCAGTTATTGTTTCACCACTTCAGTATTATTTCATTAATCGAGTGAGTATTTCACATTTCGTTTGAATTGATAAAATGGTACGCTTAAGTTTCAACATATTGGTTTATACAGTAAAGATTAATTGACAATGATGTTTTAATATTATAACTTGTCCTTAACAGCTACATATCCTCAATATTTAACCGATATTCGGATAATCGAAGTTCTACTGTATTTGATTTTATATAAATCTGCTTCTCCGTCAATTTCTGAATCTGTTGATGAATCCGTTATCCATGAAAACGCCGCTTTAAGTAAGAATGTTTTGTATGTTATTTTCTTTCCATTTATATCTGTATCCGTTTTAAATGAATTAAAAAGTGCACAATTGGTAAAAACATCATCACTCGTTTGCTCCACTTTTTCTTTTTTCTAAAAATTAAATAATATAATAAATACTGATTTCCACGATCTATCCCTTTCATATACTTATACTTATTTGTATACAATTATTGTCTTGGATTTTTTAATTGATCTAATTGATCATTATTTTACGTTTTTGGTTTTCATTGCTTGTATAGAATGTATCGTCGATATCATTAGAACAATTAAACTTAAAAATTTTATTATTTCTAGTTATCTCTAATATCCATTGTTATTCTTGAGATATTTATATATTTATCTATTACTTGATAGTGACATCTATTCGATTCTGTAACTGTATATTTCAAAATTTCATCTCCAATAAATAATTGTACGATATCTATTACATTTTTTAAGACCTTGGTAGTATTTTTATACAGATTCTAAGTAATTGATAAAAGGTTCCAAAATAATTGATTTGTCTTTTGTTGACCATGTATCATTATCTACTTCAGTATTATCAGCATCGTTAGATCGCAGATAGCTGTGTACTAGAGATTGGGAAATAAGATGGAGAAAAAGCAACACAAAAACAGAAATAGACACAATAGATGCGTCACGATAGATATGTTAAAACAGCAGGGTATAAGAAACACTATTCTCGTTGAAGAAAGTCAGAGTAGAAAAACGATTTCGAACAGGCAGATTCAAAACTACCGAACCACCTTCGATGTTTATATTTGGTATTTTTTGCGATTGTGTAGATTTAAAAATCGAGATCTCGATATTCTTACGCGATTTTCTGGTAGTATCACAAATATTCATATTTTTATTGGGCAGAATATTTTCGCACAGTACGTAAACGAAAGAAGCAGAGACGGCGAATGAAAATGAAGAATAATCGATTTCATTACTCTGATCTATTTTTTTTTTTTAACTCCCAGAAATTTCCCTGCAATTTGTCACATTCGGTGAGACATTCGGCGAGTTGTTTTACTTTATTGAGCGTAGCACGTGAGTGCTATTACAATATCCTTAAATCTTCTTGCTATATTGTTGTAGAGATCAACTAGCTTAGTGTCGTTAAGTTGTACTTATAGGATTACAAGAGGTGTGAGAATGGTTGGCATGTTGATGGTATTAATGCGAGATAGTGCATTTGCGACTGTGTGATCATCATCCTTCACATAGACTATGCCAGTGGAGAATTGTAAGATATAGTCGAACTATCGTAGTTGACGTTTCGATGCTTTGTTCACTTTTTGTTTGAAGGCAAAAGTAAGTAGTTTTTGGTCTGTTTTGATAACAAATTAACGGCAATTTAGCAAGTGATGGAAAAATTTGACCGATCCAAAAATAGCAAGGAGTTCACGATCGTATGTGCTATATTTTTGTTCTGTCTGGCTCAGTTTTCTGGAGAAAAACCCTATAGGTTTCTAGGTATCATCTTCTAGCTGTTCTAGTTTAGCTCCAGTAGTAGTTCCGGATGCCTCGGTTGTAAAAGCTATTGATTAGTTTGAAGATAAAAAAGTGAGCAATCTGATTGATACGAGTGTGTTTTTGCATGTTTCAAATGTCTCATTGGCTTCAGGAGTCCAAGCAATCTTGGTTTTATCATTTTTTATGGACACTTTGAAGTAACTGTTGAAAGGAAGCATGATCTGAGCTATACAGCGATGATAGTAGTTGATCATGCCAAGAAATCTGCGGAGTTTAGCGATAGTTTCCAATTTCGGGTATCTTTTAATGGCATCAAATCGTTCGCACGTTGCAGTGTAACCATGTTCATTGATAGTGTATCCCAGGAAATTTATCTCCGTTTGATTGAACAGGTTTTTTTTTAATTGATAATGAGATTGTTTCAAGCGTTCGAGAATGAGACGTGTTCCAGGTGTTGGTCTTCGTCATTCGAGAATACCATAGTGTCATCCACATAGACGAATACGAAGTCCAGGTCTCTAAAGAGTGCGTCTATGAATCTTTGGTATTTGGCGTTTTTTAAATCAAAAAGCATACCTAGGTACTCGTAAAGCCCCGATGAAGTTACGATGGAAATTTTTTCAATGTCGTCCTCGTGCATAGGTAGTTGTAGGTATGCTTTTTTGCCGTCGATTTTACAGTAACGTTTTTTGTTATGTAGACGTGGAAAGAGATTTTGGATGAGTGGAGGGCTGTACATGTCTGGATCAGTGACATCATTGAGTTCATGATAGTCACCGCACAGATGATGACTGCAGCTGTTGTCTTTCTTTCATGTCATATGAATAGGACTGGTGTACATACTGCTAGAGGATCTAATGATTCCGGAGCCCAGAAGTTTTCTGATTTGAGTTTTGATGAATTCATTTCCATCATCTCATCTATGAGATTTTTCTCCCAGTGCTATTTTGTTTTGGAGTCCTCTGTAGAAGTTCACTTGATATTATTACTATCGCTACTACTATTATTATAATAATATATAATGTAATAATATAGTAATAAAAACAATAATAAGAAGAAACAAAAGAATATACTTATATTGTATACATCACATATTGACACATATGATGAAGATAATTTATGATAACAAAAGGAAAAATGTATCATATTTCGTGGTGGTTTGACGCGCAAATTCTTAACAAATTGTGTCTTTAATAACTTCGACGCATAATTTTCCATCTAATACGAACGACATATGAAGAGAAGTACGAAATGTTTCCTTTGTTTTCATCCGCTATTGTTTCTTTTTGTCTTACTACTTTATGATCCTAATGATTCGTTTGATTCATTTCCGTTATATCGTTATGATTCGTTTCCACACTGTTTCTTACTCATGATCGGTCGAAGCTTATTGTCTTTATTATTATAATATAAAATGTAAAATAATATCTAGATTTATATAAATAATATTTAACTTCATTTTTATTATTATTATTATATTATATTATTATTAGTAGTAGGAATAGTCGAAGTCGTATAGACTGGACTAGTCCTACAGAGGTAACCATGTAAGAAAAAAGCGCTGGGAGTTCTACTTCATAGGTGGAAATGACTTCATGTTTTAATTTATATTAAAATAATATAATATATAAGTATTTACTAATTATTATTAAGAAAATATTAGATAAATTTTTATTTTTTTCGCAGATTTATATACTAATTCTTACCTGTCAATTATATTTATTATTTCTTATGCATTTATCGTAAAACAAATACGTACCGACATCGTATCTAACACGGATCACTGCGAGACGCAAGCTACCATTAAAATAAGATATACATATGAAAGATTGAAAAGTGTGCGTTCATATTCTACTAACCTACTTACTTTAACTTACACGAAACCTATTGTTATGAGAAATAACCAAACAAGTTTATACACCGATATGATAAGGTATCATGGTGGGGACATCGTTCGCCGTTTGTTTTTGTAGTTCATATTTTATCCATACTTGTCGCAGAAGTCATACATGCTTTGAACAAAAGATAGTGACCAGCCTTAAAGAAAACAAGAAAAAGGAATAAAAGAGTCGCCAAGGGAAATGTATAGGTAAGAGTTGATTTTACATTGCTATGATGGTGTTGAGCTGTAGTTAGAAGCAACGAGAGAACATGGGGTTTTTGATTTATTCTTTATAGGATCATTTTTGAATAACCAAATAAAAACATATGTATCTTATAGCTGTTCTTTGTAAACTGATTTGAATTGTTCTTCTTTGTCGGCTCTCGTTCATCGTCCATTACCTTTCTTTATTCTTTGTCGATGGCTTTAAGCTTTGCCTTTTTATTTTTGAATACGAAAATTTTCTTCTCCTATCTACTTGCATATATGCGTTTGTATTTTATGTTTATCCACATAAATAATTCAGTGAAGAATATTTTTGTTTTTTATAACTCCCAGGAATTTCCCAGGAATTCGTCACGTGAGATATTCGGCGAGTTGTTTTATTGAATTGAGGGTATCACGTGATAGTGCTATTCTCAGTGGAATAGCACTATTACAATATCCTGTTGTTTCAGACGTAACTAGATTTTGAGGTCTTTTTTTTATGTCTTCTTGCTGTATTGTTGTAGAGAGTGTTGGCTAGCGGTTTAGGGTGGTTTATATTTGTCAGACATACGCTGTATCTTCTTTGATACTGCTGGGATTTGTAAATCATTACGTAAGTCCTCGTTTTTGACATACCATGGCGCGTCCACAATTGTGCGGATTATTATTGTTTGCATAGCTTTCATTTTGGAGATATAACTTTTAGCTACCGTGTCCCATAACAGGATGCTGTACATCCAAATAGACTTTATTATTGTTTTGTATATTAGTAATTTATTTTCTATACTTAGTTTAGATTTTCGGCCTGTTAACCAGTAAATGTCTTTTCTTTTAAGTTTAATTTGTAGTATTTTTTTATGTGTTGTTCCCAGGTTAGTTTAAAGTCAAGGTGCAAATCCAAATATTTGATTGATTTTGTTTGCGGTATTTCATTATTGTGTATAGTGATTGCTGGTACTTTGCCTTTGCAAAGAGTGAATGTAATGTGATTGGATTTATTGTAGTTGACTTTAATTTTTCGATCTATTAGCCATTTTTCAAGCAATTTTATGTGATTTTGCGAGATTTTAGCTGCTTTTTATGGCTCTTCGTGTGTGGCTAAGATTGCAGTATCGTCGGCGATTGTGCTTAATATAGTATCTTGCGTTGTCGGGATATTCGCAGTGTAGAGCGTATAGAGGTCCAGATTCAGTACACTTCCTTATGGTACACCGGCAAATATTACATGTACAGCTGAGTGCGAGTCTTTAACTTTTACGTAAAAGGTTCTATTGTTTAGATATGATATAAATAATAGAAAAATTGGTACTGGGAAGTATTGTTTTATAGTTTTCAGCCATACCTTGTTAAAGGCTTTTTCTACGTCTAAGAATAGACATGTACAGTATTTCTTGATTTCTATAGTAGTTGTTATTTGATTAATTAATCTGTGGACCTGTTCAGTTGTAACATGTTTCTTCCTAAAGCCAAACTGGTGATCTGATATTAATCGTTTTTTATTAATAATTTTTTTAATTCTAACTAATATTACTTTTTCTAAAAGTTTAGATAGAATTGGTAATAAGGAAATAGGTCTGTAAAAGGATAGTTCATGAATATCTTTGTTCGGCTTAAGCAGCATTATTATTTCTATCAGTTTCCATAAGTCAAAGAAGTAATGGAGTCTAAGTATGGCGTTAAATGTTATGGTAATTATTCTGATGGCTTTTTCTAGATGTTCTTTAATTACTTTCCCACTAATGAGATCAAAGTCTAGAGATTTTTTAGTTTTTATTGTATTTATCAATTGTTTTATTTCTTTTTTTGTAGTCTTGTATATTAAGTTGTTTTGATCTTCGCTTTCAGTACTATCGCATACAGTTGTAGCATTTCCTGTCGTAGCCATACTATTTGGCTGAAAAGTTTGATAGAAGTAGTTAGCAAATGTCTTGGCTTGTTCCATGGACATTTTTGCCTACGATCCGTTTGGTTTTCGCTATGCTGGAGTCTACATTATTGGTCTTTTTAATTTTTTTGTTGTCTTCCAGAGTGAATAGTTTGTATCTCCATTTGCCGTAAGGTTTAACAGATATTTGCTAAACCCGGAATTACAGTATTCTTTTATCATTATTTTAACATTTCTTGTGAGTGCATTTAACTGCCTTTTATTTTCTTCTGTTTTATGCCTTTGCCATTTGTATTTAGCTTTTCTTTTTTGTTTAATTTTCTGCAAAACATAGTCTGGGTATGAACAGCTCATTTTATTTTCTTATATGTTAAGAGTAGATAACCATGTTGACTCTTGAATTATTCTTGTTATGTAGTCCACGGCATTCTCGATGTGTTCTGGTGTTTTTAGAGGGATTTTGCAATTTAATTTTTCATCAATAGTTGACCTAAATTTATCCCAGTCCGTATTTTTACTGTATAATTTGAGTGTAGTTTCTATGTAGATTGGTTTTTGTAGAAATTCTATCAATATAGGTGTGTAATCAGAGCTCAGTTCTGTGCTTGAGATTAATTTGAAGTGCGCTTTATTCAGTCCGTTAGTTATAGCGAAATCTAGAAGATCTGGTGATTTGTTTGATGCTGCTGACCAATAGATAGATTCCCCGGTTGATAGTGGTGTTAATGATAATTTCTGTGTGATCATTTCTGTGTGACTGTGTCGAGCAGTGTTTTACTCCTAGGTGAAATTCTTTTTGATCACCAATATTTGTGCTTAGCATTGTAGTCCCCTACTGCTATAAATTTGTTTCCTAGACTTTTAAAAAAGAGTGAATATTGCTCTTGAGTAATTTTATGTTTTGGCGGTGAATATATAGTCAATATTTGTGTTTCTCCAGTTATGATTCCTAATGTAATTGTTGTTGCTTGTAGACAGTCAAGTGGAATGTTGGCATATAGTTAGTGTTCAATACTATTTTTAATGATAATCGCAGAACTCCCATGTACTTCTCCCGATGGGTGCTTGGTATCATATATGTAGTGTGGTATTTTTATATAATTTTTAAATGTAAGGTGAGTTTCTGAAATTGCCATAATATCAATGTTACGTGTGTAGATGAAAATTTTGAGTTCTTGAAGTCTTTGTTGTAACCCGATGGTATTCCAAACATCTATTCTGATTGATCCATCCATTATTTGTAGGTATTCAAGAATTTTGTTAAAAGATCTAACATAACGGTTATTTGATGTGTTTGTAGCTGTAACAGTAATGTTTGTGTTGAGAGCATGTCTGTTATGAGTTCTGTATTTTTAGCAGATGAAATACAGTATTTTAGCAGATTAAAAGTTGTTTAAATTCTGTATATTCGTTTCCAGTAGAATTTTTTGAGCAAGTAGGAGGTGCTAGGTTTTGTTGTTGCGAGGTCTGTTTGATTGTTACTTGTGCATAGGTTCTGTTATTCTTGAAAAAGTGTTTAGTATAGTTTTGAGAAGTGTCTATTTTTGAATTGTATTCTGTCGTATAAGGTATATGGTTATTGTTAGTTTCAAATAGTGTTCTTCATCTTAATGGAGGAAATGTTTTGTGTTGTAATTGTTTACGTACCAAACAGCCTTTATAACTTGCTGGATGATTACTTGAAACCACTTTACGTTTACTAGTTTACCTTATTGTGGGCAAAATGTAGTTAAGTAATTGCCTGTACATTTATCACAAGCAGGTAACCTATTGCAGTAATTCTTCGTATGACAGTAGGTTTGGCAGTGATGGCATTGAGATATGTCACATTTCGGTCTTGGCAGTTCGAATTTAATTAATGTGTTGAGTAGTTTTTCTATGCTGTATATGTCCTTGTTATTATTATTTGGTTCAAGTTCAATTGTAAATAGAGGTAGTGGCTGTTTAGTATTATATTTGACTATATTATTAATCAACCTAACAACGTGTTTGTGTTGCTTGAATTCGTTAATGATTTTCTGTAAATTTATTTTTGAATGAATTCTATGTAGAATTACCTTGTAACTTTTTTAACTTGATAGGTATGAAAATCTGCGTTTTTGCCTTTTAACTCGTTTATTTCCCTTCTATAGTGATCCGAGGATGATAATTGGATTTTTGTCTGATTATCTTTGAGTTGCTTTAAAGTAAAATTGTTGTTACACAAGTAATTTTATCAGCGGTTCAATGACTTGAGCCTGAATGTAAATAGGAGGAGGTTTATTTTCTTCATTTGTTTGGTGTCTTCATTTGTTTTAGTGTTACCTGTTGGTGTAGCATCGGTTTCAGAGAGGATACTATATGAGTGTGTATTGGTATATCCCGTAGTCACACTTCAGATTGATGTAATGTGCGTGAATCTGTCACATCCGCGCCTGTATTAGACTTCCTCTTTTTGCTAGTAGATAGGAACTCAGCTCAGTAGAATGAAGCGTTCATAAACATATCGATATCCTTTACTTCGTTATTTGATGTATTCCGTGTGGAGCAGGTGTCTCTCAATTTTAAGATTTTTAGCTTTATTGGTGGCATATTTGAGCCAGCAGCCATATGATGTACGCTTACTGTCTCACCGCGCCGAGATATTACAAGAGGTCGTTAATGTACACTATAAGAACTGTAAACAAAAACAAATCGCGAACGATAGGAAATACGTCTATTCTATATAAAGTTAGCGAGCAGACTGACTCTGATATATAAAAAGAGAAAGCCCGGAAGCACTAAGTTTAGATTTTTCTTAATTCCATTATAATATTATTTACTCTACCCGATGAGCGTAAGATAAAGTCCAGTTAGGAAATAGCA